ATCAGGCAAACCAAAAACAAACCAACCTCCCTGAGCTTCTGGTTCTTCCAACGCAGAACCAGAGAATTTTGCTGTGAGAATTTCCTAATGATGGACTTGTGCCTCTTCTGTGCGTGGCTTGTGAGTACCTATGGAAACTGTCAGTGATTCAGAATAATCATCCAGGTGAGCTCTACCTGGAGAGAGAAGCAGATTGACTAATTGAAATCTGACACCCATGTCTGGAGTCAGTGAGCCGTCAACACCCTCCCAGCCGTGCGGTAGATCACTGGGGGTCATGGAAGCTGGAAGCACTGGGGCACAGGCATTGCTCAGCTCTGTCAACAGTAGGGTCTGCCTTGTAAATAGAGTGCAAGGTTCCGAGCCAAGATCTGTTAAATCCGTACAGCTTTTTTTGGTGACGACACAAATGCAAAGGCAACCTTTTACAAAGCACAGTTCATACCTTTTTTGTTTCACTGACTTAAGACCCTTCCCTTGTAGTCCCTCATCCTTTACAACCCAGAGTTCAAATGAAGAGCCTGTGGCAGAAAAAGTTTTCTGTCTTCTGTCAGCCCTCTCCTTGTCTTTTTACCCACACACGCACGCAACGTAAATGTTCATTTATGTAATGATTTTATGACTCCATGGGGAAAGTGGGAGCTCTTCTGAAATCCACCCTGAATTCAAATGCACCCTGACTACTGACCCGTCCTGTTTTATCGTGGAGGCTAATTAAGCCTAGAGGAGTCCGCTAATCCCCTTTCCTTCGATGATTTTTCAACAGATACCCTGGGCTTTGTAGAGAGAATTGAGTGCTTCATTGGAAAACTGCACTTTTTTAGACTGTGGTCACTTTTCCGGCTCTCTGATCGTGGCCCACACCGCCCCTAGCCTTTCCCAGCTCTGTGAGGCGGAATGACCGGCTGGTGGTGCAAATGAATCTTGTCTGTGGGCAGGAGCTAAATCCTGTCTGGCGGAGGGAACGCCTCACCCCCATGGAAGAGCCAGTTTTTTGCATCAGTTGCCGGTCCTTCCCCATATACCCAATCTATGGATGTGTCAGTTCTCCTTGGAACCATTACAGCATCGGAGTTAGATAAAATGAACCAGTAAGAGGGTTACGATTCTCCAAAAAAAATGAACAGCTTTTAGCAGGAAACTCCTAGGTCAATGTAGACAGACCTGGTTCTCTCTGAGGGTTTCTCTGAGTTAAGAACAGAAACGGCTCACCACAGTCAGCCCTGCAGTGAGCTCCCCTTTGGCACCCACACCACCCCGACCCGTTTCTACAGTTGACAGCATCTGTCGCACACATTTGTTGAAAAGTGTGAAATGGAACGAGAATTTAGAACAAATTGCCGAGAAGGGCTATTGCAAAGGGGCTTGAGAAGGTAAGGATAATGCACAGCACGTTAACTGTGAAATGTGTGCGTTTGAGGCTTTTCTCCTCAACCGTGAACTAAGAGAAAGCCTTTCGGGGTAAGGTGGCGCGGTCGGAGGGCGTCCTCGGGCACCTGCGGCATGCTCCGCTGCCCTCTTCGCCTTCTGTGCTGCTAGTAACCTTTTAATTCTCAGCTGGTTTTCAAGAATGTACCCGTGGGGACAAAACTGTGCTTTGGGCCAGAGAGTCGAGTTGACTAGCCCTGGTCAGAATTCTTAAGGCAACAGCACATACAGCAGTAAACCAGTTTTACTGTCGTGCCTTCAGAGACAGAGCGTGGTCTCCAGGATAAGGCTGCCCAGGAACTTGTGTCTACAGACTCTCGGGGACAATAGCCAGGGCAGTCTGTCCTCGGGGACTACTGGGGAAGGATCACATTCTGGAGACCTTCCGCTTCGAGAATGAGTGTAGCTGAAAGCTCCGTAACAAGGAGAATCCCGTGTCCTATCATATTTATAATATAAATAAGACTTGCCAATCACCGTTTCTATGGCAATGAACTCCTGTCCATGCGTGTCCTTATATACATCGAGGAGTGTATTCCTAGGATAAATTCCCAAATTAATTTTTAATTTTAAGTAACCTAAATCTTGATTAAGCTTTCCCAGAAATTATTTTACTTAGGATTAGAAAGTCAGCATGCACATAGCCTCAATTATTTTGAGGAAAGAATAAGATCTTTGTAATTCTTTGCCTCCTTTAATTTCAAGCTGAATAAATAAATAAAAGGAAGTATTTTCATATGTTGACTTTTGTATTACGTGCTTTACACTGAGGTCAGGGACTATGTCTTAATCCTCTCTGCTCCCCCAGCATCTTGCACGTGCCTGGTAGGGAGTAAGCACTCAACAAACGTGGGAGGGGAAGGAAGAACCAAAGCAATCAGGTACTCAAGTCACATTCTAACCATGTGAAAGGTTTACACGTGTCCTTTTCTATTGGGTTTAGTATGGGTTTGATTTACTGCTTATCCATATACCGAGATACAGACTTGATCTTGCTTTGTTGTTGTTGTTAAGAAAAATCATCTCCTGGGGCACCTGGGTGGCTCAGTTGGTTAGGCATCCGACTTCTGCTCGGGTCACGTTCTCACCGTTCGTGGTTCGAGCCCTGCATCGGGCTCTGTGCTGACAGCTCGGAGCCTGGAGCCTTCTTCGGATTCTGTGTCTCCCTCTCTCTCACTCTCTCTCTCTCTCAAAAATAAACATTTAAAAAAAAAGAAGAAAAAAGAAAAATCATCTCCTGAATGTTTTTGTGTGTGAACATTGTACAGAGGTTAGAAAAACACATAGCAAACACTTAACAGGGGTTACCTCTGGTAGGTGGCAGGGGCCTGAGGACCAGCATCTGGATGCTTTGTGCTTCTGGAAACACAAATTAACAAAAGAGGAATGTGAGGAAGTGAAAAAAATTTTCCCTGACACAGAAAGAGGGAGGGGGGGCAGGGAAAAAGGATAATTCCGGGTTTGGTCAATCCAGTGACTTAGAAACATGATCCAGGATCCAGGCCTTCCCACTCAGTTATTTTCAGCATGTTTTATGGCCTCAGGTGGCTTCAATAATTCCAGATATCCTATTATCACTATGACAGAGTCCAGCCAATAAGAGAGGTATTTTTGCTTATGCATTGATTTATATCAGTGAAGAAAGACTGCCCTCAGCAGACTTCTTCTCAGATCCCATTGGCCATGATCAAGTCTAGTCCATGCTAGACCCAATCCTTTGAAAGGGAGATGAGATCACCATGATTTGCCTGGACCAATCCTGAGTCCTACCTTGGTCTGGGAGGGGCGCCTGTCTTGAACACATGGCCCTGCACAGATTAGCACCCCCCAAAGAGATCATGCCCTACCACTGAGGAGGACGGGAGAAGGATGAATTTGATTAACAGACAGCAGTATGGAGAATTCGTTCTACTTTATGCCCTTCTTTATCATTTCAATTACCAACTACTTTTATAATTAGTTTTTTTAATGATTATGTCAAGCCTTAGTAAGATTATTTCTTGATCTGCAGTTACAATGCAACACGGTCCAGTGACTCACCAAGTTCGGGGATTGTGGCTTGTTTCTTGCAGCTTGACTCACCATTTAGCCAAAGCTTGACGAGCTTCCGCCTAAATGTCTTCGTCTGCAAAATTAAATGAAACCCTTTCTACCCCCTATCTCACAGGGAAGCTGGAAATTACTAAAAGCATTAAACAAAGTCATCACACATTGTGGGGATCCTGCACCACGTACCCAATCAGATGAAAGGAGTTATATGTCAGGTCTTACACTGCATAATTCAAAACTGGTGATGAGTAAAGAGAATTGATTCCACGGCCATATTTAAGTGTACTGGGCTGATTGTGTTACTGTTGGGGCAACGTTTTTCATCAAGAAATTTCTTTTCTTAGTATGAAAAGCTAGTGGAAGAAGGTCAGTGATGGAGACTGAGGAAGGGGTCCTCTGCTACCCTCCCACCTCCAGAGCCGGCCCCTCTCCGGGCTCAGGGGCCAGCCTCCAGCCACTGACTGGCAGGCATTTCCCTCCACACTGCCCCACGCAGGTTATGTCCCCCTGAGATGCTCCCCTCTATCCCTGTTCCCACATAGCTCCACTCCAAATCCTTAATTTCGCTGAGCCCACGTATCTGAAATGTTCAGTTCTGTCCTCGGGGAAATCGGCTGATTAAAATACTCAAAATGTGGATGACAGTTCACCCTCAACATCTCCCACAGGGTAGCTACACTTAAAAAGAAGTCTTTATTAATCTGTCATTAGTGAAATGTCTGTTTAGAGTAAGCAGGCCTTCCACTGTCCCTTGGGTCAGCCAGCCGACCACAACTTTATCAGGACCAAAAGGAGAACAATTTAACATCGCTGTTTCTGCAAATGTTTCCCACTGTCTCCGATACTGCTCATCACCATTTCCACAATGACTCAGTGAAATAAGCCTCTAGATGCTTCCCACCCCACCCCCCGCAGCGTCATGTGTTGGGGATTAGCTCTGTCTGGGACCTCCACTCCCTGTTGCCTCCTTCCCCCTTTGCCGGCACTGCAGGGCCGGGTGCAGGGCGCCCAGGAGGTCCTGGTGAGAGTCACGTGCTGCAGGAGCCCCGAGGCACCTTGCGCTAGCCGGTGCTGGTCCAGGGCAGCCGGGCTTGCCTTCTAGAGGCTCCTGCTTTCCCTTCCACACCCTCCCAAAGAACGTGAATAGCATTTACAGGATGCAGGTGCTGTTCTCAGCACTCAACAGTTGATTCCTTTTCAAGCTTTTGGTTTACGATTTGTAGTAATTCAAAACCTAAAAATTTTTTTTTGGGGGGGGGGGGGGAGGAGGGCTATAAATTTGTTTACAGTTTTGCTTGCAAGCTGCTTCAGCAAATGTCAATTTTATCTGCTCGTTATCTGTCACTATCATTAAATGTCATTACCTCCCCGGGATCCTCGGAATTCAGAATTCAGCTGAGAGTGCGCAACTTTACATTCAGTCTTTTCTTCTCCCGAGAAAGGAAGGGAACTTTGCAGCTGAGCTGCCCTACACGATGACATGATTCAGTGCCTTGGTAATCTTCCCTGTCTCTGCCCAACAGCTCTGCCGCCTGGAGCGCCACTTATCTGCGGGACAGTACCAGGGAACCCTGTTTGCCGACCAGCCTGTGATGTTCATCACCCCGGCCAGCAACCCCCCCAGAACCAAGCTATGGGAACTGGTGGTCCTCTGTGGGGGTCAGATCACGAGAATCCCACGCCAGGCCGGCATCTTCATCGGACCCTCCCAAGGAAGGAGGAGGGCGACCGTCAAGTATCTGTCAGAAACATGGATCTTAGGTAGGGATCGGCTCACGGGCATGGCGGGGCGGGTGCTTCTGAGCGCAGTAGCTGTTGGGGTCTGTGGTCCCAGGCACACAAATGGGCTTTTCTGGGGGGAGCCCGATGCCCACGCCCCCCTTCCCTGTAGCCGTGGGGCTTTTGGATGGACGTCTCAGCATCCAAGCATCTGCCTGATTTCACAGAATCCGCTAATGACTGTCGGTCTCAAGCCAATCCAGACACTCTCCTTTTTACTGTCGGCCAAAGTAGACTTCACCAGGACAGAGAGTCACCTGACTCACCTCACTAGCAAGTGTGAAAAAGGCCCAGCCTGCCCACAGCTACCCCACACCTTAAGGCCTGTCCACCCTCAGCTCAGATGGCCGCCGCTCCCCGGGCCCTGGTCTTGCTCTGCTCCCAGAGCGGTGGGCCAGCACCGGGCTGCCAGGACCCGCTCCCCCCCCGGCCCCCCCCCCCCCCCCAGAGCATCACCCGCTTCTCCTGACACTCGTTTGTTCACCCGCTCAAAGAGCGGTGCAAAAGGAGCTATAGTTTTTATTTCAAAACCTAAGACAGGAAGCCAATGTGCACGTCTGGCTGTGTAGCATTCACAGTGCTGGACACGTAACTCCATTCGGAAGGGGAAGAGGTGCAGAGAAGCTCTCTTTCCAGGAGGCTGACGGTGTGGTGACGGGCGGGCTGTGTCTGGTACCCTGGCTCTGGGGGATGGGGGGCAGTGTCCAGGAGAAGTAGGCCAAGCAGGAGTGGGAGGCGGGCTCCACCGGCAGCAAGGGGTCGGCGCAGGGGAGGCCGGGACAGGCAGCGCTCGTGCGCTGATGGAGCTGGAGGTGCTGGGGTGCTCGGGGCCCCGCTCTGGGGATAAACCTTCTTGCTCTGGGTTTGATGAACGTACAGGCTTGCTGGGGCTCTCAGAGCAGGTCCCACAGACGGGGACACTAGAACAACAGGGATTTCGTCTCTCGCAGCCGGGGGGCGGAAGTCAGAGTTGGTTTCTCCTGAAACCTTTCCTTCTTCAGCCCTCACTGGTCCAATTCAGTGTCAGCACCTTGAGGCGGGATCCTCACCTGGCTTCTTGAGACCTGAGAAGTGCATTCTGTCCCCTGTCTTCCTCCTGCTTCCTCCTGTTTGCCCCCCTCGTCTCTAAATTCCCAACTCCTGGCTTTCCTCACCCCTTCCCAGAGAGCATCCTTTAACAGATAAGTAGATACTGTGTCCACGTTTTATTCATAGATCACTACAGATATTTATGAATATCTTTTAAATGATTGATGGTCATCCTTTGATATATTTTGAAAGTATGGCAATCAAGAGTAATTTTTTTTTTTTTTTTTACTATCTGATGCAGAGTAATTTATCCTTTGCCTGGAAACTTATTTCAGGAAAAAAAAAAATCTATGATTTTAACTACAGTCCAAGAGCCAAGAGGCTGTTGACTCTTTTCTAAATGCCAAGAATATAACCTTCAAAACATCCTATGTTCTGAAACAGAGGTTCTTGTTTTGCTGTTTTTAGAAAAGTGCGTGTGTCAGAATGACACCAACTGGAAACCAGAATTTTGCTTTTTAGACAGCTGTCTCGTTCAGCTAACGGAACTGTGCACACGATGGCTATCAACAGTCCATATCAACAACTAATCTTTTCAGCGTCGGCTCTGTACCGTGTGTACAGGGCCGGCGTCTGGGTCTGCATGATTAGTATTTCCAGGCTGGGGAGCTCTGTCGCCCCTTCCTGTTGCCTCGTGCACGGTCCAGCCGCCTGCTAGTTCCTCCGGTTGTTTGGCCCCTCGGCCCCTCTGCGCGTGGGTTTTTAGTAGGCAGAGGTCTACCTGCTTGACCCCAGCGCTTAACCTTCACAAGGCCCTGTGGAATTCTCCGAGATTCAGAGCTGGAGCTGGGGGCCCAAGCCTCTTTCCTCTCCCATAATTCATGTCCTGTTTCTGATTTGTCATTGATTACACCATCTGCGTGTGCCCTTGGCAACTTCCGGGTATTGTGCGTTCTGGAATCCTTGGCTCTCGGCAGCGTGGTGAAATCCTCACCCGTAAGGTGAGTCCCCCTGACTCTGGCCACTGCCCCGGTCTGCACCCGGTCCTCTGTGGTGAGGTGGGTATTAGAATGTGTATTTTTCAAATATTTATGAGTTTATGTTCTTCTCTTTTTTGAGTTGAGTTACGGTAGCTCCAGCTTTGTGCACATAAAGGAGATTTCATTTGCACATCTCTACACGCGTGCACAGACCCACAAGCAACATGGTCCTGAGTAGTGCATTGCGTTTCACGTCGGGGTCCTGCCACTGGCTTGTGCTCTGACCGGAGGCAAATCACCTCTGCTCTCCGGACCTAATTTACTTCATCTGTTAAACAGACTAATAACCTCTGCCCTGCTTACTTCCCTCGATGGGCGAAGGAGATCGCACAAGAGAGTTGCAGGGTATCCTCATGCGTGCTGGGCATTGTCCCGTGTCATTGGGTGACAGTATCCACTGACACAGCAACGTTATTCTCAAAACATTGTGCAATTAAAATCCCTTTTAAATTAAAATTAAACCCATGTTGAGGCACCGAGCTGAAAGTTATTTTGTGAGACATGATGAAAACCAATACTCTAAATTTGTTCCAACTAGAAGATCCGCTGCCATGTAAGGTGGAGTCCCTGAGGCCAAAGAGTAGTTTGAATTGGGTAGTTCTTAAAGTCTGAAAAAAAATTCTTAAAAAAAAAAAAAAAAAGTAGCTTGTTGCGTCCACTTTCAGATTTACAGTTTGCTTTCCAAAATAAAGATCCTAAGGTTTTGTCTTTTAGGACCTTTATGTTTATTCCTATGTTTTGTGGCATCTTTGTTTATGCAGTCACAATAAAATCACAAGGGATGGACAGATTATCATCATTATCTTTTTTTAAGCCACTAGAAACCCCTGAGAAGTTTGGTTTGTTTTGTTGTTTCTTTGATAGAAGGAAAGATGGACATCACCAAAAAAAAGTCTCTTTGCCTAAGACCTCCAACATCCTAGGACTGGATTCCTGCAGATAAGCCTTCTTATCCCTTCACTGTCTGATCCAACATTTCTATTTAAAAACAAACAAAAGTGTCAAATGATGATTCCAGTATAAGACTTTCTCCTGACGTCTAGCTTGTTCTTTGGAGGCGGCTGCTCAGCGGTGACCACGGAGCATTCAGCCAGCTTACCCTCCTGGCTGCTGGCATAGAACGGTGTGAACTTATGAGCTCTCCAAACAGGGCTCCCCATGTCTTACTCATTTGCTCCGTGGAGAGTCTCACACACGCTGAGTTGCCTTATAACGAGGCTGTTTGAACGGCCATGATTATGTTCCCAATTCATTCCCCAGAGTCCATTTTCCCTGAAACAGCAGTATACTTAGGCCAAGATTCTCGATGAATCATTCCACCAGAAGGAGAAATGGGGATTTTTGAGAGAGAAAATACTTGTGGGCACTTGAATATGTATGAAAATAAACAGGAAAACAAAAACCAAATTCCCGGCACGAGGAAACAAAATGTTACCTTTACCTGATGTTGGAATGGAAGCATTTTCCAGTAATTTTCTTTCCCCCAGCACACCCATAGAGTAGAATTCCCATTTTACATGTCAAGAAACGAAGACGCGAAAGTCCCAAGTAACTTGGCTGGCGTCTTAAGTGAGGCCTTCGGCAGGGGTTGGGAGCCCTGAGACCCCAGTACATTCATCACTAGTCTGCGAATTTTTGTGCTGTAATCATTTCTTTTCACTCTCTTCATCCCCAGTTGGTGTTATCACTTAAGGCTGGTTTGGCCTTTCTCAGAAGACATATTTCCAGTCTCGGGCGCCCTTTTATTGTCTGGGCTATGTTCAAGTGATAAGACATACATTTTTATGCTATTGTGGGAACACAGTGTACTATGCTCAACAGCGGTGCCGGAGGGGGAAAAAAAAATTAGCCTCAGCATGATTTCCTTATAACTTATAAAAAGCATTTGATTTGAATGTCTCCGCATGTCATTGTTTTCAGGAAAAAGATCTCTGATAGCATGTGGGCCTTTGCAGGCTAGCGTAGATCATGGTTTCCCCAGATGGCTGACCACAGAACTAGGCCCAGGAAAATGCGTGCTCTTAAACATGGCATTTGGTTAAACGGAGGCCACTCGGGAGGCTCAGCCCTTAGGGTGCGTGATTAAACAGATAATATCAGGAGTCTTCAGGTCCCTGGTAGTCCACATTTTTACTGCATAGATAAGGAACCAGTCAGATGGAGGTGAAGCCATTTGCTGAGGATGGAAAGAAGAAGAAGAGAAAGGAAAGACCCGGGGGCCGGTCTGTCCCCAGCCTGCCCCCTCCTCAGAACATGACCTGATACCACGCTCATACCTTGGCTTCCACCCCCAGGAGTTCAGCAACCATGCAGAAAGTGGCAGTACACTTTTAAGACACAATCTCAGACAATAAGACACGTTATTTTTGTTTTGAGCTGTTCTCAAATGGATGACATCGACCAGGCTAGAAATAAATGAGAACTAAAACTGAAACTGATTTGTGGAATTTTATAATTTCAACATCTTGTGTGTATAAGCTTTTAAGAAATATATAGCTTTTTTTAAAGTGTGTGTGTGTATGTATATATATATTATATATATTATATATATATGTGTGTGTATATATATATAATATATATATAATGACTTTTTTTTAATTAATTGCAAGCTGCTGAAAGAGTACGTGTTAGCCTTGGAAAGATATGGGAAGAGTGTGCTCAGAAAGTGTATTTCCCTTTAATTGCATTCATTGGTCAACTAGTGGTCCTAGATGGTTATCTTTGAAATTTCCTAACCTGTCTCACTTGGCTCCCCTTTCTGAAATTTATGCCAGCTGACCTCCAGTCACTGGATGTGAGCATCAACAGTGATAGAAAAGTAAAAAAAAAAAAAAAAAAAAAAAACATTTTAAAGACAGGCAGACAAACTGGAAAATCAAAGACCCTTCTCTGCACCTTACTAGCCAAGGCACA